TACACTATATAGCGCGTAGATCTAACTTAGTATAATCTACTAATACGTTTTATACTTAACCTTATACTTAACCTTATACTTAATCTTATACTTAATCTTATACTTAACTTTATTCTTAACTTTATTCTTAACCTTAGCTAAGCATAGCGCGCAGCGTAGAGCTAACCTAGTATAATCTATATAGTACTTCTTATTCTTAACTATAACTATTTCTATAACTACTATATTCTAAGATTAATATAGAGTTTATAGAGTATACTTAGTTAACTCTAGCTATATTATGTTATCTTTTTATCTCTTACCTATATTATTACTTTATTTAGATAAATAAACATTATTTAATTAAATATAGTACTAGTATTATATTACTACTACTCTATAGTGTTAACTTAGGTAGATCTTAGTAAAGCTTAAGCCTATAGATTAACTATAAAGAACTAGTTTTTAATTCTACTAGCCTAATATTCTTAGAATATAGTAAGTATTCTTTTAGTATTTACTAACTCTTAAGCTACTATCTACGCCTAAAAAGCGTGCTCTTAGAGAGATAAAGGTATAGCTATCTACCTACTTATAGTTAAGTAGTAACTTAGAATATTCTTAGATATCTATTAGTGTAACGTAGATACTAAACTACGTTATATATTTATAATAGAAGAGCTTTATATAGGTAGAGAGCTTCTAATAAGTAGTAAGCTTTCTATAAGTAGTAAGCTTTCTATAAAGAAGAAACTTACTAGTTAAGATTAACTATATTTATTAGCGTAGTAAGAGTAGAGTAAGACTAGTCTATATATACGCTTTATACGTATAAGTATATATATCTATCTTAATTATTAGTTAAACTTCTAAACTACTATAGACTAGTTAGTTAACACTAACTATAAAGTAGTCTAGGTATATTCTTATACTTAACTACTTAATTTCTAAACTAAGCCTTAGAAACTAGCTAATAGATTTATAGATAACTAAGATAACTCTTAAGATAAGCTTCTAGATAGGCTGCATAGAACACTAGTAGAAGAGATATACTATTAGCTTTATAATAATAAGCGTATATTACTCTAGACTACTTCTAGACTATTCTTAGCTTAGTAGTCTTAAATATTTTATTTATTACACTTTTTACGTCTAGCTTTATCTAGAGTAGTTTTTAGACGTACTCTTAAACTAGTATTCTTATATATTTATCTAAAACTATAGACTATATAGGCTTTATATACCTTACTATTACTATAGTTAATAACTTCTATACTACGTAGTATTAGTATAGTGTCTATTAAGTATACTCTAAGGTAACTTACTTACTAATAGCCTTTACTAGAGATATAGCTCTATCTATAGAGTTTATTCTATAATAATTCTACTCTAAATTATTACTATCTTAACATTAAGTATTCTACTATACTTTAGGCTTAATAAGAGACTTTATAAGATATAGGCCTATAGTATATATACCTCTATTTTCTTTATTTTTTACCTAGGCGCTAATTTTACTATTAGAGAACGCAGCTAAAATATTAGTCTAGTATAAACTTAGTATATTCTAGATATACTAATTAGACTCTTAATAAATTAGTTATATTTCTCTAATATCTTATAGTTAACAAAATTTTTAATAGCTTTGTTTAAGCTTTCTATATTCTAGTTTATACTCTAAGTTAATTCTATAATCTCTCTTATAAAGTAGACTACGCAAAATATAATAATATATATAATATACTATTACTAATCTCTACTATTATAAGTAGTATATATAAGGTAATTACTAAATTCTATAAATATATAAGTAATTTTAGTATATTCTACTAGTGTAGTAACATACTACTAAGCTACTTAGTATATATATCTATAATAATAATTTAAATTCTAGTTCTATTTTAGTAATACTAGTTTATAGAGTATTCTACTATACGCTATTCTTAGAATACTCTAGTAAATACCTTCTAGTATATCTTTCTAGTGTCTCTATTAACGTATACCTACGTAATTATATAGACTATAGTACTATATTAGATTAGTCTAAGTAAGAACTATATAATATACGTTTACTTAGGCCCTCTAAGTAAGTAGTAAAGGTAATCTTCTATATAGATTTTATAGCTATACGCTTAAAACTTATATTAATAAAGAACTAGCGCTAAGAACTATCTTAGAGTAGAGTAAGTTAAGACTAAAAGAATGTAATAATAACTAGGTTATTTCTATTATAGTAGAAGTGTTTAATATACTAGGTAATATTAGTCTAGAGTATACTAGAATTACTTCTATTCTACACTTACTCTATCTAGCTTTCTATACTCTACTTAGTAACGTATCTTAATACTCTTAATTCTATTATTATAATATATTATAGTTAAATTCTTCTTATAATAGAGTACTTAGAGTATATTAAGATTATTTAGAAAGGCGTATAGCTTAGCTACTAATACTAGGCCTCTATCTTAAAGTAGTTTATAAAAAAGATAGTTTTATAACAAAGTTACTAGTTAGAATTAGTCTTAGTTAGTACTTAATTAATAGTGTATACGTACTTATATTTTAATTACCTTCTTATATAGTGTAAATAATTTAACACAACTCTTTCTTTATAAGTAGTAGAAGCTTAGATAGTAAAGGTAGTAGATAGTTATAGTTATTATAGAATACTATAATAATTATAGAATTAGTCTTAATTTTAACTAGAATAAAGATATAGAAAACGTTTAGATATAAACCTAGTTCTAGAAATTGCGTTAGAAAGTTAATAATTAGTTCTTTACTAGTAAGGTAGGTAATCTCTAGTTAATATAAGTATTAACTAAGATAGCTCTCGCACATATATATAGTAGGTAGGTTTTCTTACTCTATTCTACTCTATAATATAATACTTAGTTATTACTAGAGATATATAATCTTCTTAGAATTATTATATTAAAAAGAGTATCTCTAAGTTATATTTAGAAGAGATCTTTCTTTTAAAATACTTACTTTACTAAATACTAGAGTTATATTAATAGGCACATATAATATAGTACTATAGAGTTTTAGATATTATCTTATAAAGTTAGTCTATACTTAGATAAGTTTCTATATTAGTATAGTATAGAGAAGATATAAGATAGCTCTTAACTTATAATAATATTTATATTCTACTAGATAGTAGACTAATAAGTCTTAGTATTATACTCTTTATATAAAGTTCTAAGATAAAAAGTTCTAATTATAGCTATAAAGTAGCTATAACTATTAGACTAAATCTAGTAGAATCTAGATTACTATATATCTATAGATCTCTTACTATATAGAGTTTCTATTCTTATAGAAATAGATCTTATATATAGTATTAACTATACTCTTACTATAATAAAAGTAAGATAACTTTTATATCTAAGAACTAAGCGCGCTGTAGTATTTAACACTTTAGCACTTATATTTATAGTAATAGTATTTAATATTACCTAGAATTTAGACTCTTATACTATAATTAGTCTTAGAATTCTTTAACTTATTTATATCTTTTTTCTAGACTTAGCTATAGCTATACTAGATTACTTTATAAGCGTTAGTAAAATGCTAAAATAGACTAAGTATTCTTTTATACCTTAACTACTAAGAGAGCCTAATATTAAGTTTTTATATATAGTAACTCTACTATATATATAGTGCTAGTAAGTAAAGTATAAGAGTATATTAGCACTATAGTTATATAAAAGAGTACTAATACCTCTAGAGAAGTAGTCTAAGTACTATCTTAATTCTAGATAACAAAGTTATTATTAGTCTTAACTTCTACTTTGCTGTTTAAATTAACTAGTACATTAGATTTAATCTTAGTATTATCTAGGTAATAATTACTAGAATTACTATTAATATTAATATCTAAGAACTTAGGCTATTATAAGTTAGAAACAAACTTAGTATAATCTAGATAATATACACGTATATCTTTAGAAAGCTTCTTTAGGTTTAGCTAGTAATATACATTTTATAGTAGTATAAGAGAGATTTATACTAGTAGCTTAGCTACTATATAAGTAAACTAAATATTACTTTACTTATTATTAGCGTAAGATGTAGACTATAACTAGACTAAGTATACACTAGACTCTTAACTACTCTAAACACTATCTACTTATATACACTTTATTAGAAATTTTTCTAAGTTTCTTCTAAATACTATATATATAGAAGATACTATAAATATATTATAAAATAAGTCTAATAGTATATAACTACGCTAAATAGAGTAACTATAATCTATCTAAGATAAATTAAATTAGTAAGAGCCTAGTATAAGCTACGCTATAGTATACCTAAGTTATATATATACCTAAGAGAAAAGATTACTTAGTTAGTAACTTATCTAAGTATAAGTTTAAAGGCTTATTATAGTTAATAGTACTACTAGTAGTAGTATTAATTAGTAAGAAGTTAATAGTAACTAACTAGAGTCTATAAAATTAGACTAAATATACTTTATAACTAGACTAGATAGTAATTAAGTATACTACGTATTAGCTAAGAGACTTAACTATATATAGTCTAAGGTTCTACTAAAGCTACGCTATAATTTATTATAAAGTAATTATTATATATTTAACTTAAAGTAGTAAGTCTATATTACTAAAGTAGTCTCTAGGTATAGTTTAGGTTTTATCTTTATATAAGTTACTTATAGCTAAGCTAATAAAAAAAGCTTTTATACTACTATAGTATTAGTAATAAAATCTAAGTTTATTAGACTATACTAAGTACATACTAAGATTAAGAATAAAGATTTTAGTTCTACATATCTTAGATCTAGATCTATTTTAGTCTAATTTAATATAGTATTAAGAATAAATAAGCTAAAAATTCTAGAGTGCTAAGCTATTCTAAATACTAAGTAAGAATAGCTAAAGTGCGCCTTTGCAGCGCTTACTAAGGTTACCTAAGGTTGCGCTGCAGAACAGCTAAGCTACACTATCTCTACAACTCTTTTCCTACCCGCGCTGTTCTTTCTTACACATCTTTTTAAGATGTCGACGACTCTAGATTCTAGGTTTCTTTTGACAACTTATCGCTAATACAAGAAGAATACAGGTGCGTTTTTCTTAATGGCTTCAATTTAATAGGTTAGTGTGACTTATACGACGACAGAATACATTGCCGGCTGGCTAGTCGAAGCCTCAAAAAAAATCGGGTTTAGCCTCAATAGTGGACCAGCATCGGTGCCGGTAGAGTCACAACGCCTAAAAGGCAAAGATAGGAAGAAGGCCAAGGAGGCTGCCAAAGAGGCTGCCAAAAACCAGCCCTCTGCATATCACATCCGGACCGTCGACTTCATACCTATTGCCGAGGCTATTGCCAAACAAGCCAAGAAAGTCAAAGTGCCATCTCCGCTCCTGACAGTGTTCGGCAGAGCTATAAAAGCTAGGAAAGAGGCACAAGCTTGGTACAAATCTGCTAAACTTGAAGATGAAGGGCATAATCACTTCATAAACATACTGTCCAGAGTCCAGGAAATTCTGCGCCCTTTGGTTCCTGTCGCCAGAGCCATTAAACCGGAGAAGTCCAATGGTGTCGACAATCGGTTCAAAAAGCTGACGGTGGAGGAAGTAGCGGACACGTCGCCAAAAGAGAATGTTGAACAGCAAGCCACTTTGCCGCCGGTTGTCACAGCGGATATCGAGCAGAGCGAAGAAGAGGCCGAAGAGGAGTTTTTCTTCGCAATACATTCGTTTCTCGCAGGAATCCACGAGATTCAGGACGTGGTACAAGATTCCTGGTTCAAGACACAGGACTTCAACAGGGACCTTATGGCGTCGGCTCTGCTCACAAACACTGCGATAGATCTTGTCAGGCGTGCTGAGAGCGAATTCGACCTTAATCTCAAGCGCCCATCCAGATACCCAGTATCAAAGTTTCCTGTGTGGTCCCTTCCTGCGCTCTTATATCATCACTACCACCCATTGCCGGATGATGTCAAGATCCACAAGGTAGTGGTCCCCTCAGATGTTAGTATTCAGTTCAATGAGGACGAGTACGATAAGATTCACGCCAATTGGTGCTTTTGGCCTGCCTACACAGGTCTGCGATTCTGTGTGAACCGCATCAAGAAATTCCCCTATCTTGACGCCAACGAGGACGAGCTTCAGGCGATTGGTGCGGATTCAGTGCCACAGATTAGGAGGACGTTCGAGCTTGCCAAAGCGTTCCGGGTGTACACCTCAGCACACCAACGATTTTGGGCTCAAGATGAGGTAAGAGATCTTGGTGTATGAAATGCAAGAGAAACACGCTGACTTTGTACACCACCATCTAGGTAACCCGCGGCATGAAGATCATGTTCACAGATAAAGCCATCCCCATTTGGGTCACATTTGGCATCCAGACGCTTCTCGACATCCAGGACATCAAGGATAATCGTATGGGTGAAGGCAAAGGCTTCAACAATTCGTTCACTCATGCTCGGGTAACACTAAACGACGAGCTGAATGAATGGCCGGCGTTTGATGGATGGGAAGCCCCGTTCCCGGAGCTATTTGGTCCTCATACTCCATCTGGAGATGAACGCTCTCGGTGCAGGGACACCATGGACATCTATCACCAGCTTATGGAACATTCTGACATCCCTGCACTCAAATATAACCCAATACGTTGCGGTTTGATCAAGTACGATGTCTACTTCCAACTACATATTTGCGGCTGGCATCTCGAGGGGCAGAGTGGCCTTGCGTGCGTCTTGGGCCACCTCTATACTGCGGTACGTAAAGCTCAGTCCTGCCTAATTGTTCTAGAGTTTCCAAAACTCCACACAGTGGCCTTGAGTAATCGTCAATCGGTACTAATATCAACCACTAGGGTAAACTACTTTATCCAAACGACCCTACTTGGCCTGACATGGAATACCTCCTCTACTCTCAGGATCCAAATCACATCTTCTACGGCGGCATACCCAAAACCCTTGACGAGTCATACCGTAAGATTAATCTTGCCTTTGGCAGCAAGATGCCCCGCATAGACAGCAGTGGGAAATACCGTTTCCACAAATCAAGTCGAATGTTTCAAGAAACGAGCTTATTGAGTCCGATTCTGCAGAGTAGGATGACAGGATGGAGCGACCACACCAACGAGTCCGTGAACGAGCTTGCCAGTAACCTCAATGTCTTGCTGTGCGACAAAACCAAACAAGGGCAACTAGCACGCCAGTTGGGCGCATCACCGGATTGGGTTGAAAGTGAGATTGACACTCGTCGGGTGGTGCGACTGTTCGAGGATGGTCCGGCAGATGGCTCTCCTGTGCTGCTTCGCGATCTGTCTCTATTTATAGAGGGCGAGATGCAGAACGTCTACTTCGACTGGATTTCGATGTACCGAATCTGTGGAGACATATGGAAAGAGATATTATCGGAACTAGCCGGAGACCCTGTCCTGGCGAAGCTCATGCCAAAGCCCACACCCGGGCTAGGCTTATACATTCTCAAGATAGCTTCCGAAGATGCAGCCAAGCAGAAAAAGATCGATCTCGACGATCCAGATCTCGCACCGCAGCTTCGAAAGGTATGGACTTGCATCCAGAGAGTCATCCACAAGCGTTCGTCACACGAGTTCACCCCGCAATACAACATGTGTAAAGCCTGGCTTGGCGACAAATGTCTGGCTCAGCAAATGGCTCGCACATACCACACGGTAGCTTGGCAGCTGGTTGGTTATAACGTTCCCCAGCTCTATAAATTCTACGAGAACTGGGATTTCGACGACAAGAAAGATAGCGGCGTGCTCGCCCAAATCCCTGCTCACAATCGCATGAACGAGATATACCGCGAACGCAACCGAGATCTACTGTTAGGAGGCCTGCGCGATGAGTGCATAAGGGACAAGTATCACAGCAATGACCACTGCGGACGCTGTCGCCGCCGTAATTTCTTCCTTGACCATTACGGCTCAGTGGCATCGCTCAGAGGTACAGAGCTAGTGCAAAAACACCTAGGGCGGAAGTACCACGGACAAGACGACAAGAGTTTGGAAGAGGATGATGTACGGAAAACCGTGCTCAAGAAACTGTTTGAAGAAAACGGTATTACGTTTATCGACGGCGACGATGAGGAAGGCGATGAGGATACTTCTGACACTGGGGAGGGTGAGGTGATAGAGGGGCATGAAGATGCGAAGATTAGGCCTACAGTTGACGGGAAGTTCCAGGTCGAGATGTCGGTCAGGTCTATGTTCCATCGGCCAGGTGTTTGGCAGAGTCTTGGTAGTCGTCCGAGCAGCGAGAACGGCAGCGAGGACGGCAGCGAGGACGGCAGCGAGAACGGCATCCACGATTCTTAGAGCGCAGTGGTATTACAATTAGATAGTCTTACGATTCGCACCTGTATCAGCGTATTCACAATGATGCGAGACTAGTATCCGTGAAAGTCGTCATCCGTGCCCTTCCAAATCATTGACTACGTGCGGCAAAGTCGACTTGGCAAAAGCTATATCAAGAGCCGCGCTTCAACTTTACCGGTGGTCGATCTATTTGTTAAGTTGTATGTAGTAGATACAAGATTTGCCGCACCCGCTAGAAATCCTTTTTCTTGTCTCCTAGCCTTGTCTCACTAGGCACCTTATACAAGGAAGAAACTAAACAGGCCTGCAGACTACATTAGCACAAAAATCTGCAAAGTAGGTAACCTAACATTAACGTAGGCTCTAGGGTGTTTAGTTTTCTCCTAGGTTGGCGTGCCAGGCGTGGCTTCGCTTGACCCCGCACACCTGCCCACATGCTGACAGGTCAGCTATATCTTTCCTTGCAGCTTCAACACTCATTCAACTTATCTTATACTCTGATATCGAGCAATACTCTCATGTTTCATCGCACCAACCCTGCGAAATGATTCACGATAACTCCGAAGAGGAGGGCCGACGCTACTGCCAGCTTCGCTCCGGAGACGCAAGCGCAGACCCACTGCCCCGCTTTCCCTACGAGCCTCTCGAACCCCGCTGCATCCGCATCCTCGAGCTCCAGCCTGGTCAACGTTCAGACCCATTCCTAGGCAGATTCATCATCGCGAACGTTGACAGTGACTTCGTGTACGATGCGCTGTCGTACATGTGGGGTGATGCGACGCAGGCCGATCAGGTCGTTGTGGATGGCGCCGCTATACCGGTAGCCTGGAATCTGACCAGAGCATTGGAATATCTGCGCGACTTTGCAAGACCAGAGCCACTGAGAATATGGATCGATGCGATATGTATCGATCAGAATAACCTCGAAGAACGAGCCGAACAGGTCGCCATGATGCGGACCATCTATCACAACGCTTCGTGTGTGCGGATTTGGGTCAATGAACCGTCGATAGACGAAGACAGTGAGGCCGTGGCAGCTCTCAAAAGCTTCAAGCCCAGCCCAGATGCAGAACATTGCGGCCTAGGCGATGAGCCCAGCTTCTGGGATCCTCTGGTTCCGATGTTTAACAATGGGTACTGGAATCGTATTTGGATGTAAGTGGATTAATGGTCGCTTGACTATAGAGTATTAGCTGATGCGGTCGCGTTCATGCTGATAGACAGCAGGAGGTTCTTAATGCACGAAAACTAATGCTACACTGCATGAACGTTACTTTCGACGGTATAGCTGTTGCAAGCTTTCAGCAAGCCATAGAAAACTTTTTCCAAAACAATTTCCAAAACCATATGGGCAGATGGAGCTTTGATACTCTAGTGGAGTTGAGAGGGCCATTAGAGAGGCCTCTTAGCATCAACATGTTTGCTGTTCATGGTGACCGGAGACACCGACATCTCCTCATCGATATCCTTTTCAGGAGTTCTCATATGGAAGTGTCTAAAGGGCAAGATCGCCTATACGCCCTCATGCACTTAGCTAGAGACTACGAGGAAGGGCGCATTATAGTCGACTACAAGAAGACAGTAAGACAGGTGATGGCAGATGCAGCCGCATATCACATTAGCAAGCACCAGAGCCTCGGCTTTCTGGCTACGAGCTTTCGACATAATGAGACTTCCAACCCAACGTGGATCCCAGAGAGTTGGATGGGATATAATCCTCAAGGAGCAGGGCTATCTTTGAATACGGCTCGTGGGCCAGAGTACTTTGAACACACCGAGTGTTCTTTGGAATCTGTCGATATGCGCAATCTGAGGCTATGCATCCGAGGTATGAAAGTGGGTTCAGTGCGGCAATGCATCGTCTTTGATGTAAATACGCACGTGTCTGACATGACTGTGGCCGATTTCTGGAAGTCGTCGCTCGGTGAGTACGTACTGCCATACCTTGAGGATACTGATATTGGTCTGCCGCGGGACTTCTCCCGGGCTATTCAGGCTGGGATCTTCGGTCGAAGTCATGATCATGAATTTATTCAGGCTGGACTATCGTATCTTTGGGAACTTGGAAGGAATCCAGAGCAGGCGAGTCGCGTCCTAAACTATGGAGCAGATGACATTCTAGATCTGCTGGCCCCCCTCAGAAACAGTAACGAGCCTGCTTGGGCCGCAATTCGAGTTATTTTGCAAACCCTGCATCGCAGATCTTGCATCATAACAGACAGTCAACACATCGGTCTGATACCGGAATGCAACGTCAGAGAAGAAGACGATATTTGGCGAGTGCTTGGATCTTCTCATTCGGTCATTGTTCGAAGACAAGCTAGCGGGAGATACTGGCATATCTGCACAGCATACATTCCTGCTCTCGTCGAACACGAACACATGGCTCACTTTTCAAGCAAGATTCAGCCTGGAGATCAAATTGGCGAATGGACAGTTAAAGATATTGAATTGGAGTAGTCACCACGCGCTCACGCTGACAAGAGACTGCGCATTGCTATAAGATCATTCGCAATCATATTCCATTCGAACTATATACAACAAAGTTCACCGCATTCTTCCGCCAAACTTCAACTGATACCCCAATCACCCACCCAACCCCTTCGGACCATCTACGCCGGAGGCCCAACAGGCGTAGGCATAGGCATAGGCGCTACAAAAGATCAGCAACAAACTCAACACTCTCCAAAAACACAATCTACTCACAAAAGCCCGGCACACTCCTCGTAGGCCTCGGCATTGGTCCTCTACTAGGCCGACCAGGGAACCCTCCAGTCGGCATGGGAGGAACGCCACCTGGGAAGCTGGGGAAGCCACCAGTAGGGAACGGAGGCGCACCGCCTGAGAAGCTGGGGAAGCCAGGAAAGCCGCCGGTTGGGAAGGGAGGAGCGCCAGTAGGGAACGCGGGGAAACCTCCGGGAGGTGTTGGCATAGGACCGGTGGGGCGGGGGCCAGTGGGGAAGGGCGGGATACCGACGGGCATTGAGGGAGTGGCTTGGCGTTCTACGACGGGGGCGGCGAGGGCGCTGGGGGGGTGTTAGTTCGGGTGTTGAGGAAGTGGCTCGGTAAGGGAGATGTACCCAGCGGCCATGAGGAGGACGGTGGTGAACTTCATAGTGTGCGGATGTATAGTTCAGTGAATGAGTAAAGTGGAAGCTGTTCGTTGATGTCGATTTAAACTTCTGACACGAGGTTCTCTTATACTCCTGCTCACCCCAGTCTCCACGTCTTCCAGAGCATACGCGTACCTGGCTACCATGCGTCAGCGTAGATTACCTTCCTTCCCTGTTCCTCCGCTCTCAAGCCCACGTTGATGAACCCCAATATCCCGTATAACGACGCGGCAACGCCATATTTGCCCGGCTATCAAAGCCCAGAGTTCGGAGAATTCTTTCACTCGCGGAGGTTTGGGGCCGATCGAGTGTGTTGAGAGGATATGACGTTGCGTACACGTTGTGTAGACAGCAATGCGCCAGGGTGTTTATGGAGAGTAGCACAGCGGCCAATTTATCGGTTGCTTGTGGCCGGGTCCGTTGTCTAATTAAGCTTTGGATTCAGGGTAGGGACGGGTTGTACAACCGCTGTGAGGGTATGTTTTGAAACAGCTCATCTATACGATCCAATGGTAGCGGTTATGTTGAGCGTGTGGCTTCAGGCCACTGATGTCTCGTTGGATCGGACTTGCAAGAGGCCTGCAAGTAGAGCTGTTTGGAAAGCCATGGTATGCAAATGCCGATAGATACTGCATGCAACCAGGCGGGGATGGAATCGAGATTGTTTACTTTGGGTACTAAGATCGAGGACGCGTCTCTCCTAAATAGAGGCGGCCAGGATGTTTAGCCGATCTCGGGATAGTTCTCTGGCTGTGGACAACAAAGCAACGTCGAGTCGTTCCTATGAGGCTTCAACGATGGCGTACAGTGCGGCTCGGGTCTCCGCCACGACGGTCAGTCGTGAGCTCATGCAGAACTTAGCAGGAGCAGCTTTTGTGGGTCTCGAGGCTTAAACTAAGAGGACATCGGCAAGTCGGCGTATTCAGACACCTGGTATGTGAATTGACGACAACGTCATTTTTTGGGCAGCAAAGGAAAATCTGGCGAGACTTGAAAAGACTAATCAAGATCGAACATGAGGTAAATTGATATGAGGGGCAGCGCTGAACTCCCCGCATTCTCGCATCTCATCGGAGTTCGACTCCGGTAGGCAGTCCCGATCGTTCGTTGCCAAAAACTTGATTGGTAAATGAAGAAGAAGTATATGGATGTTGTCGAGAGTAGATGAAATGCGGTCGTAATGAGCCAGTGAACCAGACAGATGAAGCCGTCAAGGTACTGCGATGGTGGTTGGTTGGCATGGGAAAAGCCGTGAGCTTTGCCGGGCCGCACCTGCATAATTCTCCTGTTGTGCCGCTAATCCTTGACAAGCAACATAGCCCTGCTTGCAGATGTTTGATGCAAATGCTTCTGACGACAGTCGGCGGGCGATATATGAAGAAGGCGCGGCTGCCGTGGAGGGTCGCATAGGATAGAGGGTTGTGTAACGTCTCGCGACCACGGAAACAAGACTTTTGTATTGAGCGTTAGCACCAGATTTGTGAGAAATCCATGTCATCGCACCTTTTGACCCAAATGTGAAGAGTATCTCCATCAGCTCTTGATGCAGCTTTGCTGAATTAGAATGATTATTGTTCCACCCATGCAACCATTCGTCCGAACTGTGTGTGTACCGCTCAGTCGTCGTCTTCAATGACTAGTCCAATCTCTTCCGCATTCTTGACCTCTCCGCCTTCGTTGTTGCCATCGGCGTCCTCGTCGGTGCCAGTCTTTGGCACATTCGCATTCGGCGCTAACTTCTTCTTCGTCTTACCGTCCTCTGCCACTGGTGTCCCATCCCTCTCGCTGCCTGTTCCGCCCTTTCCACCCTTCTTGGCTTTCTCTTTCCGCTGTCGCGCCTTCTCCCTCTTCAGTCGATTCTTCTCCGTCTTCTCATTGTCTTTCTTTTCCAGCTCCTCTTTTCGCTTGGCGAACTCCTTTTCGTCTTCCTCCTTCTTCACCTCCTCGTCCATCATCCTCAGCCTCTCATACTCGCGCCTCCGACTGGCCTTGTAGACGTGGAACTCGCCACTTCCCGCACCCGCACTAGATCCTTGTACATTGGCGACGATTTCTGGGGGTAGAGAGGATTTGGCTAGCGCGCTGGAGCCTGGGATATAGATATCGCGATCAGGCTTCGCAAAGAGAGCCTCGACTTCTGAGGCTTGCGCTGAGCGGGGAGTAAGCGCGCGCTTCTTCGTTGGGCGCTGCGAGCGCGGATCGGCGGAGGTGGGTATTGATTCGGGGATGGGTTCAGACATTGTGGTGAGTCCACAGAGGTAGATGCGAAGCGCTGGCCAGTAGATAAGCTGGCAGGGGGGTGATGATTTGTTTATGACGTCGTGTGTGGTTGCCCGAAGTAATGCGACTTCAAAAAGATAACGTGGGCAGTAGCAGCGTGTACGTGTGCTGTCGCGCAATGCAGAAAAAGTGGTGAAGAATGACGGCCAAGAAACAGTCGCGAGGGATGACGCGCTAGCATTTGCGGCGAACACCTCGGGGGCGCTACGGGCGGCCGAACAAGCCACTCGCGCCAGCGAAGTCGCCGCTATCGTTGGGCTTGCAGCTGCACATGAAACGCCCTGGATCGCACTTTCTCTGCACAGCTGTACATATTCCCTTCCTGCCTCGAAGACACCTTGCTGTACAGCATAATATCAACTACACGTACATCATCTTCCAAACCCACACCATACACACATCCCACTCTCTTCACCATGGGGAAACCCCGCGTAGGTCCACTTTATTAATACCACCAAGGCCAATGGCTAACTCCCTCGCAGATGATCATATTGATCCGCCATGCCCAGTCAGAGGGAAACAAGAATCGCGACATCCACCAGTTCATTCCCGACCATAGAGTGAAACTGACGCAGCATGGCTGGACTCAGGTGCGCCCCCAGTCCCATCCGACTTGAGATGAGACATGACTAACTCATATGATTGTAGGCAGAAGAGGCAGGACGACAGCTACGGTCTCTGCTCAAGCCAGACGACACCCTCCAGTTCTTCACTTCCCCCTACCGTCGCACGCGCGAGACGACCGAAGGCATACTCCGTACCCTGACCTCCGACGACCCAACACCATCGCCCTTTCCCCGCAACAAGATAACCGTCTTCGAAGAGCCCCGGATACGCGAGCAGGACTTTGGCAACTTCCAGCCATGTTCAGCGGAGATGGAGCGCATGTGGCAGGAGAGGGCCGACTATGGGCACTTCTTCTACCGTATACCTGATGGCGAGAGTGCGGCTGACGCGTACGATCGAGTCAGTGGCTTCAATGAGAGCTTGTGGAGATCGTTCCAGGACGACAACTTTCCCAGTGTATGCGTTTTGGTCACACACGGGCTGATGTCGCGTGTCTTTCTTATGAAATGGTGAGGCGCACAATGATTGGGTCAATAGTCCAGAACTAACATGCTCCAGGTACCACTGGTCAGTCGAGTACTTCGAGGATCTCCGTAACGTGAACCACTGCGAATTCATAATTATGAAGCGAAGCGAGAACAACGGCCGATACATTCTCCAGAATGAGCTACGAACATGGTCGGAACTCAAGCGCCGTGCTGCGAAGGAGAAGGAAGAGACAAAAAGCGCCACCTCATCTACGCCGAGCAGGGCCACACCTTTGACTGGACTGGGCCAAGGAGGCATCACCGCATCCCCCACCATACCCACGCGCCGATGGGGAGGATGCGTCAACGGATGTGACCATGACAAGATCAACTACCCCCGTCGACCGATGCGCAAGAACACTATGGAGTACATGGGACAATCACAACAGCTGCCCCCGCCGGCAGTCTCACATATGGAGCCTGTAGAAAGCGAACAGGAGGACCACCCAGTTGCAGCGCAGCAGACCGAACACGCTCCCATTATCAACGAGCCCTCGCCGGCGAAGCTATCGCGGAAGCAGAGTACCAAGGGTGCCACCATGCCGGAAATGCCTCCAACGCCAGCATCTCCAAACGACGCGTCCAACGACGCTACAAGCAGTGATGAAGGGGAAGCAACATCGTCCATGTCACGCTCAGGTAGCCATGCGCAACCGAGAACCGCAGCTGTCCTCCGCCACCTACAACCCCACAAGACACCAGGCGAGGGTTTCTCTGATGACTCCGACTACTTCCCGGGCATGCAACAAATACAACACCGCAAGTTCCTCCGAGCGAGCTCTACGCAGCGCAGACAGTCCAAAGAACGCAAACTGCAGCGCAAACAGACAGAGCAGAGCTGGAAAGAGGAATCTGGCATGGGTAACGGCGTCAGGACCGATAGACTGGGCGACGGCGATGCCACCAGCGATGACGCTGCGTTCGCGAAGGAGAAGGAAGGAGAACCAATCCTCACGGAAGCGTTGAAAGGCAACATGATTGTCGAGAACAGTGAGGAGGATAGGGAAGCCGGGGAGGAAGAGAAGAAGATTGGCGAGACGGAGATTGACAAGATGCAAGACGCCGAGAGAAAGGGCTTTGGTGAGGTATATTGAGCATCTTGAACGAATGGTACGTCGAGGACGAACTGGACGACGATACGGCTGTATTAACGCGGATGCTAAACGTCTCAAACGATTTACGATACAAGATCGAATCGAGCCGGTCTCGTAGATCCTTCACATTAATCGAATGTCTACCGTTTGGTTGGGTCGCTTTCCTTGATTCTGGTATGCTTTACTTGGTTCCATCCAAACCACGAGTGCAATGTGCTAGAGACCCCAATGTTGCTGCCGTGGGAATCTTCCGAATTAAACATCTTAGCTTCCGCATCAATTCTCACTCGCGCAAACGCAAATGCACTTTCCTCAGTTGTTGTGGACCCACTTTCCGCGTCAGGTGATTTGCCAAGACCACTCTTGCTATTCTCACTCACTTCGGTTCTCTGATCTCTTCGGTCTACTTCGCAGTCGCTTTGAGGAGCCCATTGCCTTGGAAAAAATTACACGACAAGCCACTTATACCATGCAAAAAACCGAGAGTGACTCTGGCGCAGCTGGTGCGCCCACGTCCGCTCCGCCTAGTCAAGGTCGAGCTATCGGCTTTCTGGACTTATCTGGGGGTGAGTTAAGATTTCGGAACCAGATTTCAGTTGCTAATCAGATCCGAAGAACTCCGGAACTACATATACGAGTATGCAGCTGAGCAGAGCATCTTGGTCAAGCTCTCGCACGACCCCAGCCTTACTAAGAACAACATCGACTATATCGTTCAAGATCGTACGCTCCTAGGTCTCACACGAACCTGTAGACAGATTCGCGATGAATTCTTGCCTATCTATCTCACAACGACCACTATCGCAATACCATATTACCAGGTTGATCAGTTCATCTCTACGTTTATCGACCCACAACGTGGCACCTACGACGACGCGGTCGGTAGTGTTATCTTGCTGAGGCCAAGGGTTTTAGTAACACGTCATTCCGTCAACATACTCCCATTGGTCAAAATCATCGCTCGGGCGCCACGCTTGATTGCACGCTTTCTCAACGAGGACACTAATGACTTCCGCCAGAACAGCTTGTTCAACTCGCTGCTCAACACCCATCGCAACCCCCGCTGGAATGTCTACGCAAAAAACTGCCTTTCTCAGATCACCATCAGCAGTTGTCCGAATGAAGGTCTGAAGACCACAATCGTGGTCAAGAAAGAGTGGGCGGAAAGCTGGATGGGTCTCAACTTCTATGAGAAGACTAAGCATCTCATCGCAGCAATGGCATGGAGTAAACGTGTTGGTCTCAACAGGAACAGTGGCAAGTACAGTTCGCTCCTCTATCACTTTGGCGATATAGTTCCGGAAGATACTGCGACGTCAGCGAAGCTCGACAGTGAATGAGGGCATGTCGTATGTATTTACATCCAAGGGGGTGACAGATCTGTATAAGACCAAGATCTGCTTCCACGGGAACAGGCCCATTCATCGAGAGGTTCGTGTAGCTTTCCAACACTGAAAGGTGAAATGGACGGCACGTGCCGCGCAGGCCTTGTGTTTAGTGTAACTAAAGTAGGTGTAGTGAAAGCAATGCCCACTACCACTGTGTCGACTGATGCATGTGGAAAGCTATTCATTTATCGCTAACCTTCAGCTCAACTCGGATGTCTTGTTAATTACAAACCACCCTGAAAACTTCTACCTATCAAGGCAAGCAAACTGCTTACCATATAACATGTCTCATCCACAAAAGTCCGATACTCTCGCTTCAATTCAGGAACTCAACGCAGCTCTCCAAAATCTCACTGTAGAAAGCCCCAGGCTCGGGTTTCTATCCCTATCCGGTGGTAAGTACACACTAACCGTCATCATCAAGTGTATCACTAACAAGCGTAGAACTTCGGAACAAAATATATTCATACCTCGCCAATGAACGTATAAACCACGACGCTCCCGTCAACTCAGAGACCACATCATTCTCCTCGACCCCAAACTACCTGCACACGCCCGCACACCAGATCATGCTGTATTACGAGAACAAAGATGACGTTCTATACGAACCTCCAGAATGGAACACTATACAACGCTACGACATGGGCATCACACAGACCTGCCATCAAATACGAGAGGAATACGAAGCCACTTATCGCCAAAACCACTCAATGTCCATCTCGCTCGACGCCCTTGTAACCAGCACCGCCTCCCGTGATCCCGAACAGCCTCCCATCCTTCCTTTAGGCAGCGTACGCATCACGGTCCGAGAGTCCTCGTGGTCAACACCCAACATCGACATTCTCCCTTTTCTGAAGGCATATAAGAACTTCCCGTCCTTGAAGCTGCACTTCGAACTCCCCAAACACGCGCGGACTGCTTTTGGCGATGTATTCAGCGTGAGGGAGAATAATAAGTGGTGGGTCGGTGTTGAGGAGCATGTCGCGTTTATACATGTGTGGCCTGAGGTATATGGTGAGAAAGCTAAAGTCGGGATTACGGTTACCAAGGAGTTTGAGATGAAGCGGAGGAAGGGAAGGATGGGAGTTCAGAAAGGTGTATTGCTGGCTGCGTGGCTGCGTGAGATGGGGTTGGAGGCTTTAAGTAGGTGGCCAGGACTCAGGATATATGTAGTTTGATCTCCTGCTTCATCAAGATGGATATGCACCCTTCAGGCGATTGATGTGTCCAGGAGAGGCTACATGAGTGGCTGCCAACGGTCGGACTGGGGGGCCTAGTAGGATGACATGGATTGAGGGTTTACTTGGCGAAGCCGTGGTTGTAGGAGTAGTTTCAAGAGTTGAAATGAGGAGGATCTTGAGCTGCGTGTCCGACGACTGGCTTGCAGACCAACCATGCAGTCAATCAGAGCAGATGCACACTTCGGCGCAGCGGTGCGGTGTGTCGGTGTCCGTTGAGTACTTGGCATGTTTGCTCATCTTCGAGAAGCATTGTATCGCTCCCATTGCAGGCATTCTGGTCGGCGAGGTAGCTGCGGCATGCAGATCTGACACGGAGAATAATCTGAGATAAGCGGGCCGCGTATGCAAGAAATATGCAGCATTGTGAAGCTGTTCAACAAATGTATGCGATCGTTCGTGAGAAGAAGTGACAAAAAATCGAAGTCAGTCGCCGCTGTGATGGACCATCGATGAAGTTCGCGCCAGTGGCCGCCACCCGGCACTCGCATCCGTCCGTCGCACGGAGTCCTTCTAGAAACCATCTAGACACCCACACACCAGCTTGACCTAGCGGGCCACGTTAGTAATTCATCCCATCATGAAGGAACGCCGTGGTAATTCCGACGGTGCGAGGTTTCGGTCGCCGACTACCCTCCAAGACCCCGAGCACGATGACACTCGCACTCGCTGCCCTCAGCGCAGAAATCATACGATATCCCACATCGTGAAACGCCTCGTCGACTCTACATCATCATGTTCGCGGGTACGCAAGCCTCGCCATGCAGTCGCGCAAGCCATAAACCGGGTAAAGTTCCCATGTGCTATCCCTGGGGCGCATTCTCGTCGCCGACGACCCACGCGCCTACCACGCGCGAGCCACGCTTAGTACCCACGCTAGTCAATTTAGGGGCTTATGCGTATCTGCTGCCGGGGCGCCACCAGTCCGCCTCCACGATATATCCATCGTCGGGATGATTGCATTCTCGGCTAAGTCCACGTTTGCAGCGTGAGGTCGGCGACTAGGGAAAATGTCTACACGGCGATTGGCACATGGGCCCGTTAGCGAGGGAAGATCTGGTCTAGTGACCTAGTCCTTCATAATGAGGTGGTGGTCTACAAACGGCTTGTTTGTCCTTCGTTGGCAGGGGTTTTCTTTGATTTTGCTACTTTCGTTCTGCTGATGCACCTTACGGGACGAGTCCTTGGTTACAGTGGGATGCTTTAAGGGACGGGACCCGACGAAACGAGAATACCGGTATCAAGAGGATGTTTACACCCGTCGAGACTTCCATCGGCGCCTTTCTGCTACACCAAGCGACTAGCAACCTCCTCTATCAGAATGGCGATATTCTGGGACTCAGCGGCTATCTGCGTCGACTCTTCTCTGCGCCTACGAAGGAACTGCTCGCGTTCTTCACGGGCATGGCTGCCAGCTATGTTCCGTTGAAGGCATTAGCACCGCAGTTGATCACGGAGTATCCTGCTGTACAGACAAGTCCACAGAGTGCTCTGTTTACGCTAGCGATTGGTGCTCTGATAGGATGGGGAACAAAGGTAAGAGACCTTTGGTACTAGACTCTCTCACCACTAACGCGAACTGCCAGATGTCGAATGGGTGTACATCCGGACACATGCTGTGTGGACTCCCCAGACTGAGTGGACGCTCAGCAATCGCAGTTGCTACCTTCTTTCCCGCGGCGATCATAACACATCACCTCGTCAATCCGAGCCTATCGAGTCCGATGTGCCCTGGCAGTGCACCATGCTACACGCCTGTGTATCCGTCAACCGAGACAACCGCATCTCTTCTCGTACTCGCCACATTCAGCATCTTCGCCGCGCGAACCATACCCAAACTCGTAGCCCAGGTCACAGTCGCGCCCGCAACCAAGGATGCCAAACATCAGCCCTCAGACACACATACTGCTGCACGCCTTACGACGCAGTCCTTCTCAGGTCTTCTCTTCGCTCTCGGTCTTCACATTTCGCAGATGTCGCACCCCGAAAAGGTAGCCGCTTTCTTCTCTTTCCCGAACTTGCAACATTGGGACCCGTCACTCGCTCTGGTCATACTCTTCGGCGTCCTGCCCAACCTGATCGAGAACCAGATGAAAGGCTTCACCAGCCCGCCATCGTTCGCCGACAAGTTTTCGCTGCCTACGAAAACACTACAAGATGTGGATATAAGATTCGTTGTCGGAGCTGCAGCTTTTGGTATTGGCTGGGGCTTGACGGGAATTTGTCCTGGTCCGGCGGTGCTTCGAGCTTTCTTTCAGCCGGTTTGGGGAGCGTTGTGGGTTGGTGGCTTCTGGCTGGGAGGTAAATTGAACATTTGATCTGGCTGCAAGCTTGTTTCTTTACTTCGAATGGGTGGCTCTTTGTGTTACATGATACCCTATATGTATTCCTGCGCATCATTTGCCATGAGGGCTGGATGATGAATGTGGATGATGTTAATAGTCAGATATGGAATGTCAGTCTCATGAATGATAAAACGACATATGTCAGACTTTTCGCGTTTCGGTTGGGAGAAGCCTTTTTATATGTCGCTGTTTTTCATGGAATTGCGAAGCGATGATCGAAAGCCCTTCTCGCCGCCCCAAGGGAAGGTAGGCGCGTGTGTATGTGGATCTGTATGACGAACTGCTCAGCTGGCGAAAGAGGAAAGAACAACCCGCGAACCGGTATCATTGGGAGACGTTACACGACAAGGGCGCACTTTCCAGTGTTGCAAGCTCTGGGAAATGCCCGGATCTCTGTCGCATTTTTTTCATTTCACTCCATGCGCAGTGAAGGTGAAGGCGGGAGCTTCGCACAAAAAAAGCTCAATCCCGCTTGCGTAGTACGCCTCTGTTTCCAGCACCACCCGGGTGTTTCTCTCTCTTACCTTACACTCATCGGCAACAAACTTGAAAAGTATGCGGATCCGCCAGTTCGTCAGGCTTGCTGGCTTGTTCGCTGCCGTTGCAGGCGAGATCTGTCAAGAGTAGGCATCTCCCAAGTAACCCGCTTTCCGTCTCGGCGGGTTTGATAGTCCTTGTACCAGCGTCTTGCTTGATTAAAAGTCTTGCAGCTGACTTTAACATCTAGCTGCTCGAACGATGTTCGTCTATCCACTAATGTCACGATCCTCGAGGCGCTATATAAGAATGTCGCGGCCGCTGGCCCTCCTCCACCTCCGCCCTCTCGGCCACCTCCGGGCCTTCCGCAGCGCCCTCCGCCGCCACAAATCGAACTTGCGACTGATGAGGTCTGGGGTAGGTGCAGGAGAAAGGGATGCACGCTCTCGTGGGCGATGAGCCACGACGACAGCGAAGTCGGACCCCAGTACAACCCAGGACGTACCACGGCAGCATCACCGTACCAGAATCGTAATCAACTCGGAAGATGGTACTGGCAAAATTTTCAATTTGATCCGAGCGACGATGCGGATACTTTTTTCAACTTCTATTTGACATGGGGTATCGGTGAAGCACTCGCAAGTCTCGGACTTAACCCCAACGCAGACAGATTCGAAGGTGGCGAGAACCACGTCGTCTCCTATCAGCACAACTTGCCTGGATTCGATGAGGATATCGATGAGCAAGTGTATTATGTTGACGGCAAGCAGTACCGGGCCACAGGTGCTGATTTTACCTTCTCAATCAACATCAACGAAGGCGTCATCATAGCAATGAGCCGTACAAGCCCCAAGGAAATAGGCAAGGGAAAGGACCCACCAATTACCGGTGACGGGCTGCCACGCCTTAATCAATTCTCAGACGTGGCGTGGCTGGAGTGGCAACATTTGATGAACCAGAACAATGGCGATGTCAGAAATATGCGTTACTTCGTGTCTGTGTTGGTTGTCAACCGAGAGACTCAGGCAGTGGTGGCGAGAGCATTGCGCACTCGAGGTAAAAATCTAGACGATTTTCCAGGGCAGACGTTCGAACGGGGGACAGACGAAATGAACGCAATCATGGGTAAGTTTTGCGCGTTCCAGTAGTGATGCAGGAGGCTCTTCGATTTACCAACAGCTAGGAAGCGTTGACTAACATGTACCCAGGCACGCCGAACATGCAAGGCTTCGCATATATGCTGGTTCAGCACAAAGCGCAGCTGGGCAACATGTACATCAAGAAGATCCAAGTCTTCAAGTGCGTGACGATGCGCGAGCCTCCTTGTATCATCGCGCATGTATCCAAGCCAGACGTCTGGGTTGACCCCGGGGGCGGTGAAGTCGTCAGACGCGACGGAGGCCATAACGTAGCGCGTATGCACAAGATCTTCGCGAAGCTTTGAAGTGTCAGTATTTGCGTGGCGTTGTGGTGGAGGATATAGGGCAGCTAGATCTATGGGTAGCAGTAATGTATGACTGTCATCGCTGTGGTTAGAAGTTCGATACAGATTGGCTGGTAATGTGTGTAGCTTTCTTGTTCATGAGCATGCATTTTCGCATCAATGGCTGGGAGCGGGTGGGAGTGGAAGTAGAAGCGCTGCGGACCCTGAGTGAAGTTCAGCCCTACCATAAAAGTCTTGAGCCCCGCCACATGATTCCACCAGACCCCGCGACGCGCTCAACCACGACATAGACGCGCAAAATGGAAGACGACAGAGCTGCGACCAACTTGGGGCCCGATGCCGAGCAGGGCATGCCAGAAGAGGCTGTGCCCGTGCGGAAACAACCGAAGCGACGTTTTGTGGGCAGAAAGACGGCGGAAAAGGCGGGCGAGCAGCAGGCGGATCCCAATGCCAACATTGAGGATTCCAGCGCGATACAAGGTGTGAGGAGCCCGTACACAGAAGATTAGTAATACCCCTAGCTAACAATCATCCAAGTTGCCCAGCCTCGACGTACCGCTCGTGTCTTGAACGCGATCCCCGACGACATCCTCCACGACCAGGAGATCAACGACGCCATCGCCCTCCTGCCTCCAAACTACAGCTTCGAGATCCACAAATGTATACATCGCATACGGACGTCAGGCGCCAAGTCAATAGCCCTGCAGTTCCCAGAGGGCCTCCTGCTGTTCGCGACGACTATATCCGATATCCTGACGCGATTCTGCCCCGGTACTTCGACGCTGATAATGGGTGATGTCACGTACGGCGCGTGCTGTATAGACGACTATACTGCTAGAGCGCTGGGATGCGATCTGCTCATACACTACGCGCACAGCTGTCTGATACCGGTAGCAGTAACGAAGATCGCAACACTGTACATCTTCGTCTCCATCAGCATCGATACCCAACATCTGATCAACACCATCACCGAGAATTTTCCCGTGGGAAAGAGCATCGCGTTAGTTGGTACCATTCAGTTCAACGCTACAATACACGGCATCGTGCCGATACTACGGAAGGAAGGATACAACCCGTTTGTGCCACAGATTGCGCCTTTGTCCAAGGGCGAGATTCTAGGATGCACGTCACCGTCCATGGCCATCAAGCCAGGCCAGCTCAACGCGCGAGGCAAAGAGGAGGAAGTACCGGACATGATACTATATCTCGGCGACGGACGCTTCCACCTCGAGAGCGCTATGATCGCCAATCCACACATACCCGCATACCGCTATGACCCCTACTCGCGGCGGCTTACACACGAGACTTATGAACATGATTCACTGTACGATTTACGACGCACTGCCATTCTCACAGCTCGGAAAGCTCGTACATGGGGCGTTATCCTCGGTTCGCTAGGACGACAAGGAAACCCACATACACTGACGCTCATCGAAAACGAGCTGGCACGCCAAGGCATCAAATGCGTAAATCTGCTCATGTCCGAGATCTTCCCTGGTAAACTGGCAATGATGTCCGATGTAGAGGCTTGGGTACAGATTGCGTGTCCTAGATTGAGCATTGACTGGGGCTACGCGTTTCCCAGGCCGTTGCTAAGTCCTTATGAGGCGCTTGTCACGCTTGGAGTAAGAGACGCACCATGGTTGGAGGAAGACGACACAGTGAGGAGAGTCGAGGCCAAGGACAGAAAGAACCTCTATCCTATGGACTTTTACGCAAAAGAGGGCTTGGGACGGACTACGGTAGATCATGTGAAAGCTGCGGAAGTAGCAGTTGGGGCATGAGGAACTACAAAGCGTGCATTGGTTTGGCGTCTTTCTCTGCTAGTTTACACTAAATCCGCCTACCGATCTGATCACACATAAGACTGGAACTGATATTGGTACACAATCCATTGGCCAACCCCGACGCCCCGACCAATGGATTATGTACCAATATCAGTTCCATTCTGATGTGTGATCAGATCGGTAGGTGGGATACTCATCAAATTTGGAAAACTATTTTAGTGATACCCAAGGCAACTTGCAGCCAGAGACGAAAATGCTATACACTAAATTTGAATTATTGCGTGGCGCCACTTGCTACTTCGACTCCTCCGCGTCTCCGTGTCTCTACGTCGCGGACGGGTAGTTGGGATAAGCTATGGCCGCCTGCCGCTTGCTCTCCTCTTTCACCGCGACACTATCAAAGGAACACTTCGCACTAGCAAAAACAAAAGCACAGACACTCGCGATATCACCGTTAGGCTCCCATCTTGGTCGATTGCTCTCTACGACACATTGACCGTTGACCTGGGATCTTCCACTATACTGCGACTAATTGATCCGCAACTCGCTGCTGCTTGACCAGCGCGACCATGTCGTCAGCAATATCTCCCCCACCCATCCTCCAGACCGACACCATCCCGTCCAGCATGACTCTACCTCCGGCTACACCGAGCCCTCTGAAGCGGAAGCCATCAGTCAACTCCTCTCCTACTCGGGAGTTTCCAAAGAGAGCGCGACGAGATACCCAAGCACCGCTCACCAAGGACACCCTAGTTTCTACAAAACATTACGCTATTTATTTCCACAACCTCCTCGAGGACCCGGAGACTGCCAGTCACCAGCTCCTCATTGCATCTCCCGTCTTCGAGACCACCCAGAAAGCCATGCGTGACCACGCTACACAAGAGATCGAGGCAAATGTAAAGTGGGGAGCAACAAAGGAGCTAAGCACTAATCGTCTCTACGAGATCCTGAATAGCAAGAACCATGTCGTTCTACGCTACGAAATGGATATTGTCTTCCCCGCCATCGAAGACGCGGACGGCGTGAAGCAGTGGAGCCGCGCGAGCGAGCTGGACGCTTTGCCAGTACAGTACGGTCTGTGTGTTGAGTATCTCAATGACAACTACGAAGAGGAAGAAGGAGCAGAGCGGTCCTTGGTCATCACTTTTGGTAGTTTGGGTGAAGCTAAACACGCCATGAAAAAGTCGGCGGCGGCGTACATTGGCAGCTCCAGTGGAGTCAAAGTGTCTGAAAGATGTATTGAAATGGTAGGGGAAGAAGGACAGATTCTCCGGAAGTACAAGATTGAAGAGGGTAGGAGAGACGCACAGGGTAGGTTTGTGAGGCAAGAAGACTTGTATTTTGAGCTGAGCGGTGCAGATGAACTTCCGCCCGCGCCCGAGACATTGGAAACGTCTGCACCGCCATCTCCTCAGCCGATTGCTGCTCCAGCCGTTACTGCAATCGTACGCCAAGCTACACCAAGAGTCGCATCAAACAGTCCTGCTCCCAAGACCCCCGAACCAGAAGCTGTTCCCGGCACACGCCGCCAATCTGCTCGGATCAAGGTCGAGACTCAGGCCGCTAAGGATATGAAGGAAGAACAACTTAAGATCGAGCCCAAGCCCAAGCCTCAGCCTAAACCGAGAGCTCCAGCTCAACCCAAGCCCCCCGCAAAGCCCAGAACGCCAGCTAGATCCAAAGGCAAAGGCAAAGTTCCAGCCCAAGATCCAGTCGATACAACCCCTCACTGCACTTGTGGCGGCCTTGACGACGGTAGCTTGATGATCGGCTGCGATAACGACGCTTGCCCAATTGGGTGGTATCATGGTCGTTGCATCGGCATCTCCAAGGCGATTCCGAAGAACAAAGAATGGTATTGTGCCACGTGTACGAAAGAGATGGAGAACAACAGGGATACGGGTGTTGAGACGGCACGTGGTAAGACGCCTGTGAAGAAGAGAGGTAGCGGTGGTGGCGTAAAGACAAAGGCGAAGGCGAAGGCGAGGAAAAGGAAGTAGGAGTAGGTGGATTGATGGGAAGGTTGGCTGTAGTGACTGTGGAATTGTGCGCTGATTGGCATAGTCTTCCTGGGGCTTGTCAGTATGTGTGATATGATAGTAATTCAGTATGTAAACAGACGGTCTTACCGTCCACGTTCGAACTCCAATGACGTTCTCCTGTTTTTCCACATTCCAAGCTATGTCTCTTTCATATCTACTTTCGGTCTCTGATACTGCGCCGGTGTCTTGATAACACGATGTAATAAGGCATGTCCAAACCATGAGCTGATAAGGAAGAAGATGATAAACCCAATGGTGATGTTGTCCATTTCCAGTTGACGCACTGCGCAAAGGTCCGGTCAGGTGGAGAAGATGGCAGATTTCCGCACGTCGTGTTCAGGTTTAGTGCTCGGGTATGTGAGAAGCGGAAGCGTGTGATGCACAGGATGCAGTTACCAACCAAGGAAACTGTGTTTGGGGCCATGAGGTGGGTGCGTATCACAAGGCGGCAGTGACGCATGACTGTGCCTGTCAGCAAACGCCTTCCGCTTCCTAACCACACGCAACGTAGTTAGGTCAGCTTCTCGGTTCAGCAAGACGGGATTTGGTAGTATATCAAGTAGCATCGGCACTATCAGCGTATGATTCGTACGAAATGAAGCGCGTAATGGGTATCTGATTCGCTATGCAAAACGCCAAAGCAATGCTCTCAGCTCTTATCCCCAAATCTATCCAAAGCTGCGCTCAGTCAATTTCTGGCATCAACTCATCGTCGTCGACGAGGTCTGGGTCAACCTTGCTTCCCAGATCGGTGTCTTCCAGAAACGAACGACCACGGAGTGCTTCGGGTAGGTACTCCTGTTTCACTTTGCCGTCTAGATAGTGCGGGTTGTACTTGTATCCCTCTCCATAGCCCATGTCCTTCATCAACTTGGTTGGCGCGTTGCGTATGTGATGCGGTATGGGTAGTGCTGCAACGCCTGGCTCCTTCAACGCATCGTAAGCGTTGTTCATTCCCCGGTATGCACGCGTAGATTTCGGTGAGAGTGAGAGGGCGATAACGGCGTGGGCGAGGTTGATGCGGCATTCTGGCATGCCAATCTTCTCACAGGCGGAGTATGTGGCTGTCGCGAGGGAGAGCATCGAGTTGTCTGCCAGTCCAACGTCTTCGGATGCGACGACGATGAGCCGCCGGGCTATGTATCGTGGGTCCTCGCCAGACTCGAGCATGCGTGCTAAGTAGTATAATGCCGCGTCGGGGTCGGAGCCTCGTATTGACTTGTGCAGTGCGGATATGGTATCGTAGTGTTGGTCGCCGGCGCGGTCGTATACGAGGGTTTTGGTAAGACTCTGTTGAATCTTCTCTTTGGTCATGTCAGGCTGCTTCGCAAGGCTCATGGCGAGTTCGAGAAGATTCAGGGCTGTTCTGGCGTCGCCGTCAGAGAAGCGGGCGAAGTATTCCAGCATCGGCTTGTCTAGGATGGGGGATGTGACGTTGTCTACGGCCATGGCGCGCTCGAGTATTCGTACCAAGTGGTCTTCTTTGAGGTCGTCAAGCGTAAAGGTTCGACATCTTGACAGCAAAGCTGAGATGACCTTAAATGATGGGTTCTCGGTTGTTGCGGCTATGAGGGTTATGGTGCCTGACTCTACAGGCCCAAGGAAGGCGTCTTGTTGCGTCTTTGAGAAGCGATGTAGCTCGTCGCAGAAAACGATGGTCTTTCGACCTGTCAGCTGCAGGTCTCTAAAGGCCTCTGCGAAGATCTTGCGCACTTCCTCCAACTTTGTGCTTGTGCTGTTGATCTCGACGAAGCGTGAACCGGATGTGTTGGCGATGAGTCTGGCGATGGTGGTTTTGCCTAGAGAATGGGTTAGCCTCAATTGGAGCGCGAAGGATATGTAGAAAGTGCTACCTGTTCCTGGTCTCCCCCAGAGTACCATTGACGGTAGTCTGCCTTCGTCAACCATGCCTCGAAGCACGCCGCCGGGTCCCACCAGCTCTTGACCATAGACATCATCCAATGACATTGGCCTCATGCGCTCCGCCAGTGGCATGGCATCTTCGACAGCCTTGAGTTTCCGCGCCCGTTTCGGGGCAGATGGTGATTGCTGCTCCCCATTGGCTTGTGTATCCGGCGCTTCTTCGAGAGGTCGTTTTGTACCTGGCGGAGGTGTCTTTGATATCTCTATCCGTTGCGTCGCGGTCGGCGGTGCTGGCTGTGCGGGTGGTGACGAGGTTGGGTGTCCATTCTTCTGTGTCGCGCCCGGAGGTTTGCGTGCGCCCGGCGTAAAGAAGCTATACGCCTTGCCCAGGTTAGGCGTGCCTTGAGGTTCTGGCTCGAGCAGGAACTCCTCGCAGCCGCTGTCGATGTGTTCGTTGATTCGGGCGTCTTTGACGGCTTTAGTGCAGATGGGGCAGTCGACCATGTCGAAGATGAGTGGCTCGGCGCACGCGACGCGAATTATTCTGGGGTAACGCGACGAGCGAGGCCGGCGCTATTTCGGATTTGTCCCCGCTTGATGACGGCAGACGACGGACTGGAGCACGCAATGCTAGACGCTGCAGTTGGTGACTCTTCTGGGTTTACTCATCTTCCAATGCCATTGCCATGCGAAGCATCGTGACTCCGGCTCTCAGATCCATCCGAACCTCCCCAAAGAGACAATCCGCAGCTTCAAGGTGCCCCACCAGCTGTCCCCCTCTCCGAGCCATGTCAGCGACAACACGAAGGGAAGACCCCTTCAAGCCCGCGAAGAGAGTCGCGGGCCAGAAGCAGGATGTCTGGTAGGTCAGCAAGCCTCAAAGTCCTACAAATACTAATAATGGCAGGTCCATCGTCAATGAAGCCGCCGCGGCCTCGCCCGTGCAGCCCATCGTCAACATGGGCCAGGGCTTCTTTGGCTACAACCCTCCCAAGTTCGTCCTCGATGCCGCCAAGGCTGCGCTCGACCAAGTAGACTGCAACCAGTACTCGCCCACCAAAGGCCGCCCGCGGTTAAAGAAGGCCATTGCCGATGCCTACTCGCCCTTCTTCGGTCGCACGATAGATCCCGACAAGGAAGTCACAATCACCACAGGCGCAAATGAGGGTATGCTCAGCGCTTTCATGGGCTTCTTGGAGGAGGGCGACGAGGTCATCGTCTTCGAGCCCTTCTTCGACCAGTACATTAGCAACATCGAGATGCCAGGCGGGAAGGTCGTCTACGTGCCTCTTCACCCTCCCAAAGACGGCGCGACCAAGACAACGTCCGCAGCCGAATGGAGTCTAGACATGAAGGAGCTGGAGGCTGCCATTACACCCAAGACCCGCATGATTGTCATCAACTCTCCGCACAACCCAATTGGCAAGGTCTTTTCCAAGGATGAGCTGCAAGCCATTGGCGACCTCTGCGTCAAGCACAACATCATCATCCTCTCAGACGAGGTCTACGACCGTCTATACTACGTCCCTTTTACTCGTGTCGCCACTCTGTCACCAGAGATCGCCAAGCTCACATTGACAGTTGGTTCAGGAGGAAAGAACTTCTACGCCACCGGTTGGAGAGTAGGCTGGCTGATTGGACCCGAGCATCTGATCAAGTACGTCAGTGCAGCCCACACACGAATCTGCTACAGCAGTGTCTCGCCGCTCCAAGAAGCCACCGCAATTGGGTTTGAGCAAGCTGATGCCCACAACTTCTGGGACGAATCGAAAAAAGAGATGAAGGCCAAGATCGACAAGTTCACTGCTGTCTTCAATGAGCTTGGGCTACCCTACTCGGATCCCGAAGGCGGATACTTTGTTTTGGTAAACATGTCCAAGGTCAAGTTGCCAAGCGACTATGAGTTTCCTCCTCACGTTGCGGAGAGACCAAGAGACTTCCAGCTCAGTTGGTTCTTGATCAAAGAAGTTGGTGTAGCGGCTATCCCTCCAACTGAATTCTTCACGCCAGGAAACGCGCACATCGTGGAAGATTGGCTACGGTTCGCCGTGTGCAAGAACGATGACGTGCTGGAGCAGGCCATGGAGAGGCTGAGGAGTCTTAAGAAGTATATTCAGGAATGAAACCACCACATCGCTGATCAGAAATGACAAAACAGGGTTTTTCGGATTCTCGTGATATTTCTCTCGTAATGTGTCCCTCAAGACCTTTTGCAGAACCGTCCAGGTCTTTGTCTGATCGTGTCTGTCGCCCGTCAACACCACGCCGCACGCGCTTTTCAGTCTCCGCCCCACGATTACGTTGCTCAAAGTACTTATTACAAAGGCGACTTGTGTGGCGTAAATATGAAGGAATTAGCTCTGATACCAAACTGACTCACGACCCACTCGCTCGTTTGCCAGTCACTCTCTGATTACTTCCCCTTCACTTCCCCGAATCCACTCAACCGCTCATTCTGTCACGACCCCCACCACCGGCCTACTTAGTCACTTACCTACTTCAACCACGTCGCGTTCACGCAACTCAGACAGCGCACCACTACCAACATGCACATCACAAGCCTGCTGTTCGCCCTCTGGCTACCCATCCTCGCTGTCGCTCTAGCGCAAAGCGGAAGCTCGGCCACAACACTCACAACAAAGCCATCGCCCATATCTCCGCGGTCTATCTCACCAGCTTTACAAAGCATCTACGATGTCCTAGACATCTTGTCGCCCGGTCAACCTCATCCTACACTTACACCACCCAAGTCCACGTCTACGTCCACGTCCACCACCGAGTCAGGTAGTACATTCATTATTACAACCACACCGGGCGTAGGAGTGGTGGTGACAGTTATTTCACTCACGACATTACGGAGTACGATGACCCCGCCGCGGTCGCTTCTTTCCACTACGACTTCATGGACAACACTAAGCCAGGTTGCGGGACGTAGGCGGCAGCAGGAGGAGACGGGCGAGGCGGCTTTTGCTCCTGTCAACACACGTCTACCCGCAGCGGAGAGGGACTCGGAGCGAGAAGGAGAGGTCGGGGGAATGCATTGAGGAGACTTCACTCTGTCCCGCGTATGTAGGGGAGGTGAATGACCAGAGGGGAACGACCTTACCGGGAAGTTGCTGGATGTCAATGGCGGGATTGGAAGATGGTTATCTAGAGACAACGGGTGTGTGCGGTGTATTCTGACGGGAGATGTAATGGAAAGGCGGACGGAACGCCCAGGGTTGCATGATAGAAAGAAACATTAATGGTCAGGGCTGCTATAGGGTGTGGTGAGATGGCACGGGTGCAACATCGTACATGGGTTCTTTCATTCGATACTCCCATTGGTCGATCGCTTATTCTTGATTGCACTTGCACTGCATCGATAGTCTCGAAGGATGTGCAGAAGATGTAGTGGTATCATGTACTCATTGATTCATTATATATCAGATCATTACTCGTCATCGTCATATACTTCTCGGTCTTGGAAGACCAGGAACTCGCCAGCATCGTCGCCTACAATCTTCTGCCACACCTCTTTGACATTATCAAGCACTGCGTCATCGAAGGCGAGGTCCATGGAGGGAGGTGGAAAGCGAATGACATGGTCGGTATCGGTCGGTAACGTCTCCGATCCGGATGACGATTGCTGCTGGTATTCGACAGACCATAATATGGTAGGAGATGGCGAGACGTCTTCCGCAGACAACAACGAGTCTACAGCTTTCTGAAGCAGAGCAAACCCATCTCGGCCGCTCACCGATGTCGAAGCATATAGTACACCTGGGGTATAGTCAGTAACATGAAGCTAGAAGACCATGCATTGACAATGTAGAGGATGTGCCGTTGTATCAGGTTGTCAGAGTTAATGTCTTCAATGGTATTCAGACAATGTAGATAAGTATTCGTAAGGTTTGTTCATCATAACAGCGTAGGGGTGAAGTAATAGAAAAAACTTACATTGACCAGAGGGGCATTCGCCAGTGTCGCTCGAATGCACAAAGACGTGAACTGGCGGAAGCTCTTCAGCTTGCGACTCCAGCGTCAAAGATCCGGGCGGGAAGACAACGACAGCAGCGGCTGGTGCTGGTGCTTCCTCGGCGATGGGAGGGAATAGATGCGACAAAGAGGATGACACAATGGTCATCGACTTGCAGTATGTATCCTCAGAAGCAGATGAGGAATTTCCTCCTACGATCCACTTCGCGGTGACAACTTCGCCATCTTTCAGGCGAAGCTTTGTACCATTCTCGGTTGTCTCCGGGGCGCTGTCAGTGGGTGGAGTTACGCCTTTTCCAAGGACATAGACACCACCACCCACAGCACAGGCTCGACACGAGACTTGGCTAATCTCTGACAGGCCACCCCACTTCGGTATGACGGCGCCAAAACCAGCACCGAATACTCCGATCGAACGTAGATGTGTCGCGATTCTTGGTAGAGCGTATTCGGTTGTCGTACGGTCTGCCCTGGTGGGCGAGAGCGTCAAAGCCATCAGAGGTCCTTGCAGACTGGCTGGAACCTTGAACTGCTCCGACAAGAAGCTCGAGAAGGGCTGCTGACGGTGCTCCTCCCAAACTTCAGTCTGTTCCTCGTACTCGCTGATGAAGCGCAAGAACTTCATCAAGGCGCGCTTGGCTTTGAAGTCGAGGTCGTGATCCTGGAAGACATCCTCGCGGCCGTTGGGCACCTTCAGTAGTCTTCCATGCGATGACGAGCTTTCGCCCGGTGCATCGGCAGAGTATACCCACCAGGTACCGACAGCAAGAAACTCGAGTTGACGGTAGACCCTCGACGAGACGAGGTAGCCAAGCAGCGAGGAGCGCGCGTAGATGACCTGGGGGCTTAGAGACAGGCTGTATGCCCTCGAGAAGGATAGCGCGGGGCCTGAACCAGTAGCCTCAGGCTTGGTGACTGCGACGTGGGAGAAGGCAGCATTCGAGGTTTCTGCGATGCATTAGCGACAGTCTACCCATTCAACGTCATCCCTACTTACCACCACTCATTCGCTGCGCCCACTCTTCAGCTTCTTGCAAGCTAAAGGCAGCCTCGGCACCGCCGTAGTAGTCATTCTCGTCGACATGGAGGATCTTCTTGTCGGAGCGCGACAAAGCTCTTCACGCGCTGCGTCAGTCAGATCGCGTCCAGCCTCGCCGACGAGCAAGATACATACAAAGCGAGAAGAGACTGCTGCAGGCCAGTGCCTACGATGAGAACATCCCACTCAGTGTTGTCGAGGGTTTCCATGTTGGAGCTGTAGGAAAAGATTGAAATGTCGGAGGAAGATGGTAGCGCCATTTTAGCGTGGGTGACTAAGCGGGGCCTGGTGACAAAATCTGTCGCTGGCTGCCGAGGAGCTTTCTTCATCATCGCGCACGCTCAGGGCATCCCGGCATTACGTATGGCCTGTCCGAAAAGCAGCCTGGTCTTCACTGATCGGGACTTGTGCGCGTGAGAAGAATATCTCGTCCGGTATCTACTGCTTTGGATTTCACCTGAATTAGCGGCTCGAATGTGGCGATACATCACCTTAAGACACGCGATAGCTCGTTTGAATGCGTATGAAATGAATGCGCTTTGGGCATTTTCCCAGTAATGGCTACGCATAAGGGGGGAAGGTCGGTCCATGCGACAATGCAATTCTTCTTAAAGAGATGGCTGGCACGATCTGATCTGATCAGCTACCCATGACATGGAGAACCTTTGCTCACGCCTGATTGCCCTCCACCAATCGTGAGATGCTCTCAACGATTCCGACTATATCTTGCGGGTCGAAGCCCAGCCCAGTCTCACACTCAATCACATTCATCTCATCCTGCTTCATCGCAGCGATGATCTCGCTGATAGAATCCTTATGACTGTCATATCGCTTATCGAAGACATCGCCTGCCCTTCCGCGACTCACAAACCTCTCTCTTGCCACTTCTCGATCAGTACACAATGCTAATACCCAAGTATTGCCATTGGGCTGCCATATATCTTTGACACTCTCCTTGAAGGTCTCCCACCGATCCACTCCCCTAGGAAAGCCATCTATCAGGATCCGTACGTTTGGCGGAACAACGCCATCAGGGAAAATCCGCTCCCGAACGTACTTGGGTGTTCTGTTGGACGGCGCCAGTGTTCCTGCTTTGACGTTCTTGGCGAGATCTCCCAGCTCCTCTACCGACAGCTTGCATTTTATGCGAGCGGGATGGCCAGTCGAGTTTGAGGAGACCAGGTTACGGAGCTCATTGCCGAGGGAGAAGTGGTCTAGGTTGAAGTGTTTGGCTAGAATGGTGCATATCGTCGACTTGCCGGCGCAGGGAGGGCCGAGGACGAAGATGAGAAGGGGCGGGGATGGTTCATGTGGTTCGGGTGCAGAGATGTGCAATATAGACTGGGGGTTGTTATCGGTGCTCATGGTTTGGGTGGTGTGTACGATATGCGCATCGACAGTTAGAGAGACGAGGTCGTTTGTGCATCGAGAGTTGACTATATAGTTAATATACTTCACACGTTCTTTGACTTCACGCAAGTGCTGCCCGCTCGTGCTAGCCCTCGACTTACACAGCGTTTATATGTAGGAGGTGCTGACAGTCCAGCGACGTTGTAATTGTTTAGTGTCGCATTGTCAACATGCTCTTTAGCTACAGTGCTCTCGTGTATCTGCGTGTCAGCCTCTTGCTTCACCATCGTCCTCGTGTGCCCTGATGTCTTCTTCCTTGTCCCATACTTTGTGTCCCGCGACCCACGTTTGTAGCACTTCGCCTTGCTCATTCAATACCGTCAAGTCTGCTCTTCTACCCTCCTTTAGCACACCTCTTCCACCTTCTCCGTCAACGCCCATAAAGGCAGCCACGTTTTCTGTAACCGTGCCCACAGCCTCTGCGATTCCACATCCAGACCAATCCATCAAGTTTCTCACACTCTGCTGGAGGGGTATACAGCCACCGATCAACGTGTCGGTTCCGGCAATTGTCGCCCGTGTACCATTCTTCACCTGTTCAAAAGGAATCTGCGAGTGGCCAGGATATGTTCCGTTCTTGAGTGAAGCAAGTTCAATGCTGTCTGTTATCAGAATCGACCGCTTTGGGCTTGAGCGATGAAGCAAAGACACGGTATTGGGATGCAGATGCTCTCCGTCCGCAATGATGGTATACCACGGCGGTGCGACCTTTCCTGTTTCCGGTAGCGAGACCAGGCCAGCTAATCCAGGCGCTCGTGATGCCCAAGCTGGCATGGCATTCAAGGTATGTGTTAATCCACTTGCTCCAGCCTTCAGCCCCGCCAATCCTTGTTCATACGTGGCAGTAGAATGGCCCATTGCTACTTTGATGCCCTGCGACGTAAGCGATTTGATAAGTGCAGCTGAATCTTGAAGTTCTGGTGCGACGGTCACAAGTTTGACAGTAGATTGCAGGTTAGTGGATCCGTACACAGTCGAAGGGGAGGTTGAGCATGGATGAAAGAGGGAGCTGTTGTGCGCGCCCTTCTTATCTGGATGTAGATATGGTCCTTCGGTATGAGCTCCGAGCAGGGATGCTGAAGAGGAAATCTGCCGTGGCTTCAAAGAGGGAAGAATCTGGAGCTGTGTCAGTAGACTGGCACAATGTATGCACTTATCGATCGTTCAATTGCACGACAAAGGTGTCACAGTACGCTACATTTGTCTCACCTTTTGGAATTCATTACTCTTTACAGTTGGTAGGGTTGCCCAGAATCCGGTGACACCTTGAGTTGCGTAGTACCTTGCGATATCATCGATCTTGGTCGCATATGTCTTTTCGTTCTCACAATGTGTGAAGTGGAAGCCGTTTGCCCCATTGGTGTGTAGTTCCAGAAAGCCTGGAGCTATGATACTGTCTTCCAAGTCGATGGCCTCGCCCCCAATGTAGCCTTCTCTTTTTAAGATAAGTCCAGACTCATCTGAGATAACGAGATGGTCCTCGACAAGCTCGCCATTGAGGATGTAGCGACAATTGGTGAAGAGAGTGAACCAGCCTGACATCATGTAAACCTGGCCAATAGCGCGCTCGAAATAGGTCGCGGGTAACTTCCGTTAGCAAGGCGTGAGCAAGGAGATCATGAGTCGTTCCAAGGTGGAGGGGACGATCAGCCCCACCATGCCCTGATTGGCCAATGCAGCCACAGCATGTGCATTGACGTCATTATAGGCGGATCTCGCGATCCATGAACGCGACAGCCAGGGTGATTACCAGAATTCCAGCCACAGTGGAGATTTTGACAGCTTCGTGCCGTGGCACAAGCAAAGGTTGGGTACGCGTCGTGCGCAAAAAGGTAACGCGGCTGCTCCTGTTGCAGCATTGGGCGCACTTGCCCTACGTCATTGACTGCAATTGGCAGCCCCGCGCGCGGGAACTCTTTTATGGTCTTGCAGCTTGCTTGTTCCTTGCTTTCGCTTCTTAAGCGGGGAGATCTTCGCTAGGCCCAAACTCTCCCAATATATCTCCATCGGCCCATACGATCCTCGATCCTCCCGCAACAGCCGCAACTGCTGGAAGCCCTTTCGCCCCTCCACACCCTTGACTTTGACTTGGGCGGTCACTCTGGAGGAGAAATAGCACAGCATGGCGTCACAACAGCAGCAACACGCTCCGGGAGGGCATTACTCGGGCCATAACCCAATCCCTACCGTTAGGCAGTTCGTCGAAAATCTGGACAAGGACAAGGCGGCTCGGGACAAGAGAATAGACGAAGCATCCAAGCAGCAAAACCAGCAGCAATCGCAACCCCATAAGCAGCAGGAAAGACAAATAAAGGGTACAGAGCAGGTGGTTACCGACCCTACGACTGGTAGGGAAGTCACCATTGCCGATGTCAATGAGGATATGATGGATGAGGTCGAAAACCCGCATCTAGTTATACCAAACGCGAACCTTGACAAGCAGACGGTATGTATCCTGTGTCGGCTCAATACACGATCTCTAACACTCTGCAGCCCATAAAGACCGACGCCTCCCAATCTCTCGAAGACTACAAGCACAACCAGGATGTCACAGCTCCTCCAGATCCAGTCGCCGAAGGTACGACGACTGACGTACCTATCCACGGCGAAAAGACGAACGTTCTCTTCCACCCGACACCCTCAGTCAGCTACGAGCCCATGTTTGCCGCACTCGAAACACGAGCCAACTACCTGTGCGCGGGTATCTTGATTGGAACAGTTGTCGTAGGCAAGATGTTCGGTGGCGCACTGAAGGGTCTCATACCACTCGGCATGTGCCTGGCTTCTGGCGTATTTCTCTGGATGAAGGAAGTCGTGCGCAGCGGACGAGAGGTAGAGTGGGACAGCGAGCAAGTTCGTGGCCAGATGGTGTGTATTTGCGAAAGTCCACCCACATGAGCGATAGCTAACCATCTTGTAGGCCTCTCTAAATTTGCTACCCGAGTCCGTCGAATGGATGAACACGCTTCTCGCTATTGTTTGGGGCCTCATCAATCCCGACATGTTCTCCGGGGTTGCGGACATGCTTGAAGATGTCATGCAGGCCTCTGTACCCGGTGTCATCGAAAATGTCCGCGTGGCCGAAATCAACCAAGGAAGCAACCCGTTGCGCATCCTTAGCTTGCGAGCACTTCCAGACTCACACATGGGCGACATGAAGAGGTCCATCCACGAAGAGAACAAAAAGACGAAAGACCCACAAGAAGCAGCAGCAGACGAAGAAGGTGGCGATTACTACAATCTGGAGGTCTCTTTCGCATATCATGCGAGCCCCAGCGGAAAGCGAGTTTCGGAGAGGGCACGAAACATGCACATGCAGCTGGTATTCTACTTGGGAATTAAGGGTCTCTTCGGTGTTCCGCTGCCCATATTCGTCGAATTGCAGGGACTTGTCGGTACAGTTCGCCTGCGTCTCAACATGACACCGGAGCCTCCTTTCCTGAAGACATTGACCTTCACGTTGATGGGCGCACCGCAGGTCAGTGCCGGATGTACACCCATGGTGGAGAAGGGTGTAAACATCCTCAACCTTCCATTGATCAGTAACTTCGTCAACTACGCCATCAAGGCAGCGGCAAGCAGTAAGTGAGCCCTTCTGGACGGAGAAGGAAAACATGCTAATCAGTCTAGTGTATGTTGCGCCCAAGTCCATGTCTATCGACATGCGAGCTATTCTCCAGGGCGACTCCGTTCAGAAGGACACGGAAGCCCTCGGTGTTCTCTGGATCCGTATTCACCGCGCTGTTGGCCTGAGCAAGCAAGACAAACGCGGATCGAAACATGGTGGAAGCGACCCTTACATCACTATCGCTTTCTCAAAATACGGAAAACCCATGTACTGCACTCGGGTCATTACCGATGATCTGAATCCGATCTGGGAAGAGACAGCAGCTGTTCTTGTTGGACCGGAATTGATCAAAGCCAATGAGAATCTGAGCGTAGAACTCTGGGACTCCGACCGACACACCGCCGATGACATTGTCGGAAAGGTCGAGATTTCCATGCAGAAGATGATTCAACACCCCGGCAAGATGTACCCGCAGACTTCAAAGCTGGCTGGTATGGATGCCGATAGCGAGATGCCTGGAGAACTTCACTGGGAAGTCGGCTACTTCACCAAGCCGAAATTCAGGAAAGAGATGCGAACGGACGGCAAGAACAAGTCTCTCCCAGACGAGTTGAAGGACAAGCCTGAGCTACAAGACGAGAAGGGTGTCATCAACTCCGAAGAGGATGATGCTGTCATGCACACTCCACCGGATCCTCTCTGGCCTAGCGGTATCTGCAGTGTGGTCTGCCACCAGATCGTGAACCTAGAGCTCGAGAACGTCAAGGGTAGCGCCGACCCTAGAGGTCGCGAGTACGAGCCTGCGAAGCCTTACGGCGAAGGCAAAGAAGAGACTGGTGGCAATCTTCCGAACAGCTACTGTACGATCTTGTTCAACGACGAGCTAGTCTACCGAACTCGTTCGAAGGCTGTCTCATCTCAGCCCATCTTCAACGCAGGTACCGAACGATTCGTTCGTGACTGGCGATCGGCCATCATCACGGTAACGGTGCGCGACCAAAGGAACAGGGAGCACGACCCCATTCTAGGCGTGGTTCCACTGAAGCTATCTGACATCCTCGAAACATCATCCCAGGTTACGCGATGGTATCCGCTCGACGGTGGTATCGGTTTCGGTCGCATACGCATCTCTCTGTTATTCCGCAGCATCGAAACTCGTCTACCACCGCAGATGCTTGGCTGGGACGTCGGCACCTTCGAATTCCGGTCGCAGCGCATTCTGGCTCTAGGCTACAACCATCACCCCAAGATCAAGTTGCGGACTGGAGGTAGCACCGGCAAGCTAGGCCGCAGCGCTGCCACCAAGCTCCAAGAAGGCGATGGCTATTACTGGGATTTGGAAGAAGGCAATGGAAAGAACAACGTCCGATTACCAGTTAAGCACCGC